GTTTCGTTTAGTTTAGTTTAGTTTAGTTTAGTTTAGTTTAGTTTTCAGAACTATACGTCATTTCTTTGAAAATAATTTTCAATCGAAATATTTGATTCTCATTTATGGAATTGAATTATTTTCAATCGAAATTTGTTAACGAAGATAACACGTTTCATCTCTCTCTCTCTCTCTCTCTCTCTCTGTATCTTTCTTATTTCTTTTCTTTTGTCTTGTTTTTTTTTTTCTGAAGAACGGCGCCGTGCGTTTGCCCTGTCTCGTACGTATCCTGGTAGCAATGTATCTACATAATGGCCCGCACGCTAATTATAAGTATACACCCACGTGGTGGGCATACTCATTACATGATTTGAAAAATATTTATACCGACTAGAAGACTTTGAACTTTTTTTCGAAAGCATAACCCCAGCGTCTTCCTTTTTTCGATCTTACGTGAAAACCTCGTGCTGGGAGAAACCGAAAGAAAAGGAAGACATTATATATATATTTATATGGTTTCCAAGTTACATAAAGATAATTTTTAAAAAGGAAATGAATAGAAATATAAATTCATATATACCTGGTAAAAAATATTTATACATTTGCTTACATATGTATGTATAAAAGTTTTGTTCGCAAATATACGTCGAAGTATTTTTGAAAAACCTGTTACGCGCGTCGAGTGCTTCGACTATTTGATATTTCAACTTGAATTCTTCTATCTTTTCTTACTCCAATTTTGTCCTTTATTTTTGTTATCCTATTGACAACTCGTTGTATTGTCAAAAATCACGAAAATACTTTCTAATAAATAGGGAAAGAAGTATCACATATATTTGTTCCCTTTATAAAAAAAAACCATAGGATTGAAATTCTTGTTCGTTGATGGAGATGAAACTAGAGCTACTAGAGGAATATAAGACGAAGAGAAAGAGAAATGAAAAGAAGGTTGTTTGTTAAGAAAAGATGGAAAACACTAGCAAAGTGCGTGCTCCCGCAACTTGGGGCGGCTATAACTCAAGTCGGCGAGAACGAATAAATTGTGAAAGATAAAGGCCAGGCCTGTTTATCTCAAGTGATATTTATGGGATTTCTACGTTGATAATTCGGTTACATGCGTACCATATTATCGGGACACTTAGGCAATTGCGTCCACAAAGAAAGAGAGAGAGAGAGAGAGTTTAACGTACTTTTCGTTTATATTATTCATCTTTTCTACAAATATTTTATTAATATAGATAGATCTCTTTTATATGTAATTTATTTCTAAATTTGATATCAACGATCGATAAGGTATAAAGCGAGTTTCAAATGAATCATTTATATTTATTCTTTCTTTCTTGAATTTACCTGTCTAGTTAGGTACTTCCTTATATCGCGCGTCATTTCATTCGACTCGTTAACATCCTTCAACAATTCCATTTCTAATCGGTTGGATTTTAATGATCGGTGACATTCTAACGACAGTCTTTTTTCAACGATGATTATGACAAATCAAAAAGAGAGAGAAAATTCCAAGAGATAAATCCCTTTCATCGGTAATCATCTTATCCTTTTCGTGTTATCTATATATATATTCATTTATATGCATATATATATCATACATCAGTTGATCAAAAATAACTTTAAAGTTACTATGTTCAGCTCAGTATGACAGGCTGCAATCACTTGGTCGTTGAATCGACGCTAACGAGATTTACGATTGGTTTAAATTTGAAGAGAAAGTTTAGTCGTTGGGACACATCGTTTCGTCTTCCTTTTATACGAAGGAAATTTCTCTCTCACTCTTTTAGCAGAGTAAAATATCAGAAACACGTTTGACGTAGCACAAACTTACTTTGTATACACTTTTGATAGGACTTAATACATGGTCCTGCTGGCGTTTCACAAGAAATGCATTTCATGCATAAGCATAGTATACGTAAAGCTAATTAAATGAAGTTTCTCGATCGTATTGAAGGACGGAACGCTGTAAATTAGCTCTCCTTTTCTCTCTCTTTTTTGTTCTCTTCTGTACTATCGATGGTGTCAGGTATTTTTCTTTTTTGAGAAGAAGAGAGAGAGAGAGAGAGAGAGAGAGAGAGAAAGGAAGAAAAAAAGAAGCAGCGTCATGGCGATGACGTCTTCGACGTCATGATACTTCGTAGATCGATGTCATCATCAAGATCGACCAGTAGATAATCACCAAACCGGTATTTTTGTTGTCCGAATTTCTTAGAATTGGGAATGTGTCAAATGTTAACAGGCATTTGTCTATCGTATTTTTTTTCTTTCAATAAATATCGACACAAGTATAACAATTAAAATGATCGATTTTTGTCGACAAATAATTTCGCGTCAACTTTCATATAATATGATAAAGTGTAATTCTTTACCGTTGTGCGGTAAAGAATTTCGTTTAAACGCAAATCTGTTGAGATTTGAACGAGTCCGGAGGGGCGTGCCCAGAAAAATTTCTTTTATTTTTCTTTATTTCACGAATCTTCCAAGAAAAAGATATCTCTTTTCTTTTTTATATATTTATCGTTCGACTTTCGAGTCCAAGGCCAATCGATTTATATAACTATCTCTTTCTTTTTCTTTTTTTCATTTATATCCCGGCCGTATTCTAAAACTTCTATTCTCGTTTTTCGCGTTTGCGAATAATTAAGCAGCCATACGTAAAGAAACGCATGGAAATTCCCTGCTGAGCGTCCGATCCGATTTGTTGTTGTTTCATCCACGTCCGGTGATCTGCTGTGTGCTCTCATAGCCTCGCGAATTTATATTCCCTTGTATATACGCATACCAGGACACTGCTCTCGCAAATCACAATTTTAAAAGGACCAATTAGCTGACCTACGCAGACCTAAGGGGGGTAGTATACTTGTCTTAAAAAGAAATTACGTTCGTCTAGACGGATTAAGAGATGAACGGAGAGGGAAAGGAGAGCTTCAAATTTATCAATGAAGGAAATGCGGTCATACGTATGACGCGTGAATTTCCAAATGTTTCCATAATACAATAAATAAAGCAGTTAATTATAATATATATAGATATGAGAAATTGTAGACGCCGTATGTTCGATTGCTTGGATTTCAATAAGAATTTGTTCGTATCTAATTGCCGATAGGAGGGGGGGGGGGGGGGGGACCACCCACGAAGATCTTGTCATGACTTTCTAAAAAGTCCATACTTCGCACTCTCTCTTTCTCTCTCTTCATCTTCATTTCCTTTACTTTACTAGCAAGAATACCGCGAAGTCACGTATTCTTTTGCTTTGCAATAGCTTCAAAGAAAACGAAGATAAAGAAGAAGACGAAGAAAACATTCTTCTCGAACCGGAACTTGCCTCGGTGAAGTTAACTGATCTCTTAAGAAGAAGACGAAAAAGAACAATCTATCTCTTTCTTTCGAAAAAAAGAAAAAGAAAGAGAAGTTAAATGACTTTAAAGGGACTGACGGGGGCGTTAGGTTGCCACGATGAAGGATGACTCACCTATCGTCTTCACCGTCTGCTTCCGGTGAATTCACGAGGATCTCGTCACGATTGTTTACTTTATTTCTCGTCTACGACGTTCCTGTCTTCTTCTTTCTTTCCTCCATTTCGTCATTTTTTATTAACATTTTAGACAAATTCATATATCGTCATATATGCTATATTATTAAAGTTAGATTAGAAGTTGCAGCTAGTTACAGAAGAAGGGGTTAACAAGTGTTACCTTTGGGATTTTTTGTACAATTCTTTTCATTTCATTAACATTGTTCATTATTACAAATAAGATCTTCTTGTAACTCGATCGAATTGTACGATTGTACTCTTCTTGGAAATGATTAACCAACTTTATTAACGTGCAAACAAGTGACGAACGCGATAATATTATTTATATCTACCTTCTCGAGAAATGGGATAATGTTACAATTGAAAGATGTTATGTTTTATATGATGATTGGCCACATTGACGAATGCACGTCTTAATTTTAGAAATGATCTCTCTTTCTTCCTATTATTCTCATCGATCAATCAAACGTTTAACTTTTTCTCTCTCTCTCTCACTCTCATACACACTTTTTATATTTTAATATATATTTAAAAATACCAAAGTTAACATTACTAATAATGGAATTGTGTATATCTGAATGATTATACGGAAACTAAGATAATTTAACAGAAGGGAGAATATAATTGTCAACTTTGCTTCTATTTCTGTCTTTTTCTTTCTTTTCGAGAGAATCATACAAATATCTTTTTCTCTCTCTTGTTATTAATCTCAGGAACGTCATCGACGTCTGGCCTTTTCAACCAGTGAAACGTCCGAGAAACAGTACCGTAGACGTTCCTAGTACCTTCTGAAGAGTAGAAAGAAGAGAGAGAGAGAGAAAGAGAGAAAAACTTGAAACTTGGAGAGGAGCTTTAAGAGGGATGAAAAAAGGGGTAAAAACGGTGGGTAAAACAATGAGGACGAATGAAGAGAGAGAGAGAGAGAGAGAGAAAGAGAGAGAGAGAGAGAGAGAGTACAATTGTTAACTAGAGCGTAAAATTCACATTTGATTCGCGACAAACTTTATGTTGTGACGTTAAAAAATTAGATCATTTCTTTTTATGTCGATCATCAATGACACATTTTCACGCAAACACATACACACACACACAGATATATATATTTTCGTGGCAATGATTATCCGTTTAGTTTTCTTATTTGATCATTTCATTTCTTCTTGATTGCTCGTAATTGATCCTAATCATTTTTACTTGGATATCCAATCGTAATAAATGTAGATATCAGATTCAACGTGATAGCTTATTTAATTGGAATGTTAACGAAGCAAGCAGGTAATAATAAGTTGTAGAAATCAATGGCAAGTATAATAAATGGTTATTATATACGAGTTCTCATTTTGAATTTTTTTACGATGAGAATTATAATAAGACTTAAAACGCGTAGATCTCTTTTATCCGCGTATAAAGGTGAAACATATGTACGCGAGAGATTTGTACGTATTTTACATTTCTGTATTTTTCTTTTGTTTTTTTTTTTTAGGCTAACGTAAGCCAGACGGAATACGAGAGGGCGCACAGAGAGTACCTGAAGAAAGTGCAGCTGTCGCAGCATCATGGACCACCGCAGGAGTCGAGAAAACGAAGAAGACTTCACGTGTTTCATGGCACAGGTATATTAACTCAAAATAAAAAAGAAAATAAAACACAAATCATGAGAATTACTTTATTATATACGTATGCGCATATGTTAGGTATATGTAGGAGGTATACGTAGTATGTATCTACGTAAAAAAGTCTTTTTTCATCTCATGTGAAGGGTAAAAAAAAATAGAGAGAGAGAGAGAGGAACGAAGAGACTTACAATTTTCACGCGTCGCTCGTAAACTTGTATAAGAAAAGACCTGACACTTTGTTTCTTATAGATGAGAGAAAGGGTTAAAAGAAAGAAAGCAAGTGCGTGTGTGAGAGAGAAATTAAAGGGTCATTTTAAAAAGAGCCGCGAAATTTTAGCCAAGAATTCTGACTAAAAGGGGGTCTCAACCCCTGAAACCTGGGCGAACTTTAGCGAAGAACTGCAAACTCGTTTCTTTTTAATTTTTTTTTCTTCTTGTTTCATGCTTCCACACCGAGTAATAAAAAAGATGAAGGAGGTAAAGAGAATCCCAGTGGTAGTCCAGAAGGAAGTTGCAAACGTCGGAAGATTGTTACTCCTGTCTCGGTCAATGAACTTGCACTGAAAGATCTTCGAGATTTTAAGAGAAGAAGTAGAAGGAAATGATATTAGGAGTATATTGCATAAGACAAAAGAAAATGAATCGATCCTTTAGGTGTTTGATAACGATGACGTAAGTTTTGATCTTCGAATGCACGTCATGCATACGTCGTCTCTCTTACGTCAAATCTCTTTTTCGTTGTCCTCTTTTCCGAGAAACGGTGACGAAGAAGATAACTAGAAAGATAGAAGATATCTAGATTGTTGGCTAGATAAGCTAGAGAGGGAGAAACTAGCGGATGCTGAGATCCTAAGATTCGAAGAGTATATTTCTTTTGGAGTGTCCCAAGCAAATATACGAAATGCTATTATTGGAACTTGCTGGATCAAGATAGAGAGAAAGTATCCGTGTAGTAAAAAAAATGGAAAATCTTCGTATCAATTGGATTACAAATAATTCATTATAATTTCAATAATTTGACCTTTAAAGTGAACCGTAGAAAATTAGAAATGAACTGTTACGAGTTTATTTGTTAACTACACGCAGCCCAGATGACTTGGAAAATTGTTAGAGGCCTTCTCGGAAAATGTAGATTGTATCGTTTTGTCAGAAGTATAATTGCCACTTCGTGTAAATAAACTTAGGGTTAGGGTTGTATAGAGAAAGGGTTCGAGAGAAACGTGACGTTTAGCTAGAAAGCAAAGTCGAGTAATTTGTTTCTCTTCCTATTATACGAAATTGTACGATCTATTCTTTTTTCTCTCTTGAATTTTGTTTTCTCAGACAGATATCGTAGATTTCGAAAAGAAGAATGTTTATTCGAGTAAATAAGATAAATTTGGAAGCTCTGATATATTATTAGATATATTCTTTTTAAAACACATTTGCAGTTGCTTTTCTCTCTTGACAACTTTAACTCAATCAACAACTAATTGATGTTACATTTATAAATTTAGTCGAATGACATAATAAGAATCTTCCACGCTAGTGAAAATATCAATCCATAAAAATGAACATTAATTATCTTTCTCCAATACGTATATGTGTAGGGGCTTTGAAATCTTAATTCTTGCACGAAGATTAGAAGTTAATTATAATGGTAGTCGTTTGTCTTCGGTATAAACATTATAATTTGAATTATCTAATTAAAGAGATACGCATTTCTCTTGATCCTGCTGACCGAAAAAGTAAGTTAGTAGTGAGTACATATTATGGAATCTGGCATCTTAAGATGACCTTAGGTTTTAGGTCGGACATTCATCTAAAGTGTACCTACTCGAGCTGACCAGTCTGAAGTGGTGCTTGTCTACGGTGGTAGCAACGTTAAGAAGATGAAAAGAAGAAGACTTCTTTGCTCGTGACGGCTCGCCTCGCAGCCGCTACACGGCTGTTATTATGAAATAGAAATTCCATGCTCGGCGGAATGCCGAGCGACGAGTTCCTCGATGCAATAAGAACGAATCGCCAAGCAAATGCACGAGTAGCAACAGCAATGTAGAGAAGAAGAAGTTAGTAGCAGCGGTAGCAGGTAGTCTGCACTCTGCTTTTGTGTTTCATCTAAACACTTTTCAAATACAATTCTAGAGATTGTTAAGGATGATGACTTTTATATTTTATAGATTATTCGTTTAAAAGAAAATTCGAAAAATTTCAATCGATATGATTCTTCAAATGGTCCTTATTATAGGTAATATACTTTATATAGTATAATTCGATTATTATCGACAGTTCTCTCTCTCTCTCTCTCTCTCTCTCTCTCTCTCTCTTTTATTTTATTTTTAGCACCACGTGCAATTTGCTTCCACGTTTTAACACGATTAACGGCGCCGGACGATCTCCCAGCTAATTGGGTTACGATCCTAGCCAGCGTTGTCATCGAACTCGACGAATTCATTTGGATCACCGGACGACATTCGGATCATGTTCGAAAATTTTCAACGGATTAGATAAATATATTTGTCCACTGTCTTCCCATAGAAAAGAATTTCTTGTAAAAACAATTGTATCTTGTCAAAGTTTAGTTATTTATATAGATATGTGCAAGACGTAGGAAGACGGACGTTAGAACGTAGAAAACGTCAATCATCTTTGAATTGATCTAGCCAAAGTAGTAAGTCAGACCAGGCAGGCAGGCAGGCACACGTGTGTTGGCGTATAATCAGGAAGTGGAAAATAAGAGGAGGACCTTTAATCATGAATTTTGCCGATCTAACAAATACTGCTGATAACTCTCTTCTTACTCTCTAATTCGTATTACTACGACTTAAGTTAGTCTAAGACGTTTAAAGCTCGTTTTCCAGGAATCGAGGTAAGATTCTGTAAAGGATACGAAACGGAAGACGCATTTCTCTTCTTTATCTCACTCTCTTTCTCTTTCTCTTTCTATATTTCTTACGCGATGCGAAAATACCTTACGAGAAATGTTCTCGGTGTCTATTCTTAGAATCTAAGTCGTGTGATAAAGTCTATAATTGGCACGGCTTACGATTCCGCGGTGTGTATGTGTGTTAGCGTGTCGGTTATTTAGGGCGTATAATCGCCTTGCGATTTCGCAGTACGAAATTCTCCGTGTCTGACGAATATCAACATCTATTCGTTGTTTGCCGAGTCTATTGAAGAAAATGCCATGAATTCCGAAAGGATTTATCATTCGAGCTATTTTCCGAAGAATCGTCAACCGACTTCCTCGCTTCGCCTAATTCTATTTGTGAATGAACCTACTAGTGCGATTGTAGATATTGATCCGCGCTTTCAATCATCTGACAATAAGAAAGATCGATTTCTCCGAGTAATATTTCTTCTCAAATATTTCACAATTTTTCATTTCTAAATACAATTATAATAATCGGATACAAATTTCGTATTTCTATAATTAACTCTTACAAACTAAACATCATCTTTATCTCTCTCTCTATATCTCTCTTTGAATCATTCTAAATACTTTATAAATCATTCGACAGAGTGTGGCCAATTTGTCAATCAATCCAAACAATTTTTTTACAGTCTCATAAATGTCCTAGGCATCCCATAATTTTGTAGAATCTTATTCTTATCTAGCCGATAAATCATTCTATTTCTTTCTCTTTCACGTCGCACGTGCTCTCTCGTGTAGTAGGAAGAAGAGAGAAAGAGATAGAGATATAGAAGAGATAATTCCATGATGCATCGAATGCATTAACACATCATTGAAATTTCACGTTCGGATCGATAGAACATACCCATCGCGATAATTGGACATTCTATTGGATCCCATAAACTGGAGAAAGATGGAAATAGATAGGAAGAAGGAGAGCGAGGGTGGTAACGCTTAGACACGTTTCTAACGTGTTATAAATCATCTCGACCCACACGAAACTTCCAGCTTCAATTATTTTCAAGATTAGACGCGGGAACGATTTTAGTGGCGTCTTTAGAAAATAAACAAATAGGACATGCGTTTCTACGATTCGAGGAAATGATTGTGTCAATGTTTAATGGATTTAAATAGAGTTAATTATTACGAAAGACTTGTGCTTTTTTCAATTACGGTGCGTAGGTGGCTCGGAATATAGTACGTGCGAAATTCTTTAACAGAACATAAGGGATTTGAAATTATTTCAATTGCAACCATTAATCATTTTTACTGGTTGTTCGTTTCTTTTTCATTCTTTATATTTGATATGTCACTTCATATACATTCAATTTATTAATTAAACTCTCGAAAAGAAAAGTTTTATAATCTAATAAATGCATATTCTTATATTAGTACACTATTGTTCGTGGAAATCGTATAGAACTGTATAAATGAATGAGTAATGCACATTGCACACGTGTTAGGTACTCCATTAGAACATTATTCTTCGAATTCGACTAATTCGACAGTTTTTTATTTCTAAGAACTATTATTCTGATAGTCGCACACAGGATACGTATATATATTATATTACTGTAATATTAATTTGTAATTGAAATTTTTTGTTCTTCGCCATCTTTTAGTTTACACATTTTCGAAAAATCGATGATTTATTGACGACAGTACAAGATAGTTTTTAAGTAAATCAATGAATTCCACGAAGTCGTTCGTAAATTTGATTATCAGTATCTTCGACATATATACATATGTAGCTAAAAGCTCGTAAAATCGTGTTCCGAGTATGGCAAAGAACGAGAAGAAATTTCGAAGAAGATAAACTCTCTTTCTTTCTCTATCTTTTTAACAAAATATACAAATATAAAAGGACAAGATAAAGGATACGAAAATGTAATGCTCGTTTTTGTTGATAAGAAACGGGTTCGTTCGTTCGAGAAATTCTTTGATATTTTCGCATAGTGGAAAAATGATAATAGATTTACATACGTATATTTTTAACAACAAAAAAGGGACAAACGTTTGATTATGAAAAGTACGTGGGAGACAAGTTAAATGTTATTTACAAGATGTCGAAGTAATATTTCCAGTTTGCCTCGAAGTGATGCAGTAATAAAAACGAACAAGTTAAAAGTTCTTTTTCCTTTTATCGTAGTCCAGTTTTATGTACAGTACTTCTTTGAACATTTTTATTTGAAGTGAGATGTAAATTTGCTCGTAATTTAACGTTAATGTATAAACTTCGAATAATATGCATATATATTTCCTCTTATTGTAAATTTCATTTACTAATATCAGAAAGTACAAGTTCGAGAGTCGAACGTATCGAAATTTATCGGAAATTATCCAAAAGTGTGATCTAGAAATGAGGACGTTTTATAATAAACGTTTCGAATATTATTATCATTATTAATATCATATTTATTTGATCGTAAAAATGTAAATTATCAGAAATAATAACAATTTCGAAAGCTAAAATCATTCGTCTGGAACGTATCGTTAATGATTTAGATAATAATCTAATAATGATTTAGAAATGATCTACAAATGATCTAGAAATAAGAACATTTAATTATAAATGCTTCGAATACATTATTATTTCTCTGATCGTAAGAAATTCAATTATTACAAATTATTCAATAGATTTTTGAGTGTTGAAATCGTTTGATTGGAACATATATAAAATAATCTAAGAAATAATCTAGCAATGATCAAGAAATTACGTAGGAAATAATATAGAAATGATCTAGAAATACAATTTTTATCGATTTTTTGCTCGTACGTTTTTGTAAAGAATTTCATTGGTTTAAGTGAGTTTTATGTAAGAATATTATGAAAGTATATATTTAGAAAAAAACTTAAAAGTTTCTTTTTCCATTTATCTATGTATATACATGTTTAAAAAAAACGTTCAGAAACATGTTAACAATGGCATTTAATAGTAAATTAAAAATCGTTTGGTAAGAAAACAATGTAACAAGTTGGAAAACTTTCTCTTTGCTATTTACTCCGATCCTTTATTATCTTGTTCTCTCTTTCCATCTTTCTAACAATCCATTGTTAGTTGGCAATAAGCCCGAGTTTCATAAGCTACTTTTTACATGAATTGCTTTCTTACATTGTGTCTGTCCTCCATTTGCTTGTGTGCACATTATATAGAGACAAACGTTTGTTAAACAATTAACTTGGCGATCAGCCTGGAATTCCTTTCAATACAAATTTCTAGGATAAATAGGAAAAGATTGAAACATCTTTACGTATGATAGAAAGATCAAATAAAATGTGAAAGAGGGTGGTGGGAGAGGAATGAAAAAGAGAAGGAGAGAAAGGAAGACGCATGAATGAGTTAGAATTTTTCAAATGTTAACGCGCGTTAGAAACGTTTACAAAGAGAAGAACGTGATCGATCACGTTGTCACGTTACAATGTGTCTGTGGTGTAACAAGCAGTAACGTTCAGCACCGACCTACTTCTCGCGCGTTGACATCAAACACGATAATGTTCTAATAAAGTACCTAACACACGTATACAAATGCATATACGTATACGTATACGTATATATTAGATTAAAAAGCATCAGTCTTTCGTAATAATTAATAATGTTTCGTTAGAACGTTTACATTGGTGATTTTGTTGAATAATTGATTTTCTGAATAATAGCACGTTTAGAATCTTTACAATTATTGTCAATAATTTATATAGATATATTGTATATTCAAAAAAAGAAAAAAGGATTAAATAAATTATTCATTGAACAAATGGGTTACGTCTGACTTACACAGGATGTTAGCAATGGTTCACGATCTTCCACGATGTAGAAAATGCAGACAGTCCGGACCGTGAGACAATTATTAACGCGTCGCATTAAACACGTTTTCCTCTCTCTCTCTCATACAACATATACATATTCACCGAGCAATTATTGTTAACGTTTCGCCTGGAAACAGCAGATGCTGGATGAAGATGATGCTATTTGCATCCCTCTCAAGTCTTAGCTTTTTCGCGATTGCTTTTAGAAATGGTATAGAGTTTCAAAATGAATACCACCGAGTTGTTAGAAAATAAAAGTCTACATTTTTTGTTGAATATTATAATCGCGCGTTGATTTAATATATTAAATATAGCCTAATTATAAGGAAACTCTTGAAAAATATAGATATTAGATTATTGTCGTTGTTTTTAATGTTATCACATTGGGATTCCTCGTTTAATTTCAACGTAAAAACCTAAATGCGTTAGTCTATCGCATCGTCTGGATAAAATGATTCCCCGCCTGGTAATCGTTCATCCATTAATGATTTTCCATTTCCCCCCTCCCCCCCACCCCACTGACGTAATAGCATTCTTCATAACAATCTTTAAACAGCATAGAAGAGACACACATACACACACATATATTTCGATTTCTTGTTACAGAGCATTCTGGAAATAGGACGAGACGAGAGACGACGGAAGTAGAAGTAGAAGATGAAGAAGATAGCGAGATTCTTCAACGATTGTTCTTTCCCGTGGAAATTCCCGAGGATTTAGACGAAGAAGATTCCACGCTTGATCACGCATCCTTGAGGTTCCTGTTGGTGGGAGATCACCGAGCTACCGACAATGACAACGATTTGGAAATTATCGTTTATCTACGAAACGAACAATTGTATTCTGACACGATAGCTTTATCTTCGTCGTCGTCGTCGTCGTCGTCGAAAACAAGGCCGACAACGAGGAGAAAAAGTCCGCAAGTAAGAAAAAGAATTCGATTGGACGATCCACGAGATTCAAAATGGTTAGAAGTAGACGTAACGGAGTTAGCGATAGCATGTTTACTCGATGAACGAAAGAACCTTGAATTAAATTTACAATTTCTTCAAAATGGTTCACCGATTGGTCGCGTCTTTGCTTTACCTGCTTTAAATGTTTTTACAACTGCATCCTATGATGTAACGGGTAATAATAACGGTAATAGAAGAAGGAAACGCGGAACACCGGAAAAATTGATGTCTCTTCACAAGGGACGTAGGACCGAGTGTCGTGAGGATAACAAAAAATGTTGTAGACACGAGATGACGGTAATATTCAAAGATCTCAAGGGTTTCGAATTTATTGTGCAACCTAAGACATTCGACGCGGGTTATTGCAAGGGTCGATGTCCACCTAGATACAATCCTGCCCATCATCATGCACTTTTACAAAGTCTTATATGGAAGGAAGATAAAAGGAAAGCACCGAGGCCTTGTTGTGCACCAAGCAAACTCACCGAACTCGAGATTCTTTATTTCGACGAGAACGACTCTACCACTTTGAAGATCTCCAATTGGAAGAACATGCGTGTGCTGGAATGTGCTTGTTCGTAGAAAGGGAGAAAGGGGCCTTCGAAAGAGAGAGAGAGTGAGAGTGAGAGAGAGAAAGAGAGAGAGAGAGAGAGAGAGAGAGAGAGAGAAGAAAGAGATATGGTCTTGAACCAATCCAGGAGTCGTTTAGGACTCACCAAAGAATCGTCCGAATAACATATAGTTTTGTGTAAGGTGGTTTTCTCCCTTTTTTCTTTTATTTTTCACGTACATCTTTTCCTATAGATCTTCCTTTTGTTCAATTATTATAGGAGATTCACGAGATAATATTTAGAGGATTAGAAATTAAATTCTAAGGAAGAAACCACCATAAAATAAATACAGACCCTTTGACTCCCTCTCGGTAGTAGCGGGTCTCACATTGACTGTGATACTAAGATATCTGCTCGTCATTGTTCATTATAGTTTAATATTAGTCGTATTTTTTACCGATAGGATTCTTTTTAATCGTTCGAAATAGTAAACCTGATCGAAATTATTGAATGATTTTTAACTTCTTTTTTATTTATATATAAAAAAGAATCGATTAATTATAAATTAAACTAAAATTAACGAAAAAATTGTTATCTTAACCGATTAAGTGTTANATATATATATATATATATTTTTTATATGTTTTCAATTCTCTATGTCCCTCTATCACTCAATTTTTTGTCCTTTCTACGCAAATTATTATTTAATGGTTGGAAACTTAGTCTTTCATATATTTTTCCAATCGTATATTTTGTTATTAAATCATTTGTATGAATATATTTTATTAATCGATTTATCGATCAGGATATAACGTTTCCTTGTATACAGCTAGTGTCACTTAAAATCGTACATCGTTACTCTTGAAAACTATTTATTTCTAAATTGTCCTCATCCTAAACACGCTATACCAATAGTTTTCTAGTATGAAATTCCGGTTTCACACTTCTACACCTGGTAATAAGCGTAATGGTGTACGATTTTAAGTGACACTAACTGTATGCACGAAAAAGGCCATAATCATTAATGTATCTATAGTCCATACGTATTTATTAATTTATTACAATCATTTTAGGCTAATTATTAAGAAAAAAAACAAAATACTTGACTATGTACTATTGCTACTATTATTATTACGCACAGCAACGTTAATCTCGAGTTAAAGTTATCAAAAAAAGAAGATGAAGACGAAGACGAAGACGAAAATGGAAATGAAGAAGAAGAAGAAGAAAAAGAAAAGAAATAAAAAGTGTGTTTTGCAATTAAAAACTCCTTTGCTTTACAGAAAAGAAAAAGAAAAAACATTTTTCTTTCGTTTTTTTATTTAATTTTATTAGTTCCTATAGTATTTATGTGAAAATAGAATCTCCATACGATTATATTATAATTCATTGCATTACTTTGGGAGAACAAATTTAATCTTATCCCTTTACTCCATCTACATTGTTAAGAAAAACGTATTACATTTAAATTAGATAAAATAAAAAGAAAAAAATACACGACTTCATTACAAACAGATAATGTAAAAAAACAATTACAATTGAAAAAAAATAAGCATCCTTTTTTCCTAAAACTCTCCAATTATATATTTGATTTATTCGTCCGATTTTTGTATTAAAAATATATACATATTTATATCTTCCTACTACGCACAATGAACACAGAAATTCCTCATTGTTACTCTGTTATTACCCTCCATTCTCCCCTTCATTTATTCGTAATAAAATATAAGAGAGTACGAACATTTACATAAATTATTACTATTCTAATTAATAGAAAAATCTTAAGTATATGCTGATCGATGAATTTTCAATAAAAAAGCGGACAATTTTTTTTTATTGTTGCATTTTCCCTTTTTGCTCGTCATTCTATTTTTCTTTTTATTTCTAATGATCTGCGTATCATTATTTATATAAGGTCGACACTTCCTATGTTATAATGAAAAAGAAAATATGCTTCTTCTATAGCTACCCTGTGTGTTAGATAAAATATGTTGTACATGTAAAATTATGAATAGCTTTATATATGTATATACATACGCATTGTACATATACATATATACGTGTACGTGTATGTGTAAATACTGTTCCGATTATTTATTCACATACACTTTGACTTTTGAATTGCACAATACTCTCGAACGTTGATATTAGTGTCAACGTTAAGGACTATAGATTCCATGAATAAAGTTAAAATCTCTGGAGAGCAGCACTTCGGGGTTATCACGACACGACAGCAATAAACTTTCCTTGGGCGTAACGACGTTTCATCTGCTCGAGTTCGAAGGTTACCTTCGCATTATGCAACTAACCATTCTTGTTCGTCTTTTAGAATTTTACATTAAATGTTTCAATAAATTGCGAGCAAAAGGTATTATCTATGATTATGCGTGTATGTTACTGTTGTTCACTAGACTTTCCGTGATTTATATAAACGCTAATATATCAAACATATCTTTTCCAATGTCTTGATAATATAACAAAAATGTTTAATTAATCATGTAGTTAGTGGCAAATGCAAATTGGTGAGCTCATTATGGAATAATATATAATTGGATAGATAAAAATGAAAAATTCTGAAGAAATTCTAAAGAACAAAAATTTAAAAAAAAAAAAGAAATCTTATCTTTATTTTTATTACAATATGCGCAAGCATATTTTTAACAATTCATTTAATTCTATTATGAAATATATAATTGGAAAACCATATTCGTTAATTTCTTTAGACAAAACAATAGTTAAAATTTCAGGATGAATTTGTTTACCTCCTATCGGTCTTACCAACTCCTCTTTTGCCAGAGAACAAATGTCTGGGCATTTTTGTGCCAATAAATCTGTCCGCTTCTCCCTTGAGACCTTTCTTTGCGACCTTCTTCTTCAATGCCTTGTGTGCTATGTTCTTTAGCTTGGTTTGCATCTATTAAAAAAACAATTTCACGAATTATATCCGTTAATACTCGGGTTTTTTTTCAAATATATATTTATATATTTTTTATTTCTACTCACTTCAGGATCTCTAACGCCCATTTCACTACGCGCTCGTGACCGCGATACTGATTCCGTTCGTATTCTCTTATTGGCTGTCATTGAACGTGATCTAGATCTACTCCTCTTTTTTGTAAAGTGTGCCTTTATAAAACCACAATATTAATGTTGTTAATAATTGTTAAGTAGTACATTTGTTACAATTATTAAGAAGTTGAAATGTGTAGTTACATTTTCAGTATCTTCCATATCAATACCAAGATCTTCCATCTGTTCTTTCAATTTGGAGACCGATCTTCCTCGTACTTTAGCTGCAGCTGTTCGTGGCATAACAGGTTTCGTAGATGCCTTTTGTATTCTAGCTTCCTCCTTCATAATTATCTTCTTCTCACGAATCTTTTTAGCTAATGCTACGATCTCCTGCATAGTTTCCGTCAATTCTGGTAATTTGTAATCGTACATACCAGATTCTTCTTTTAACTGTTCTTCCCGTTCTAATTCATTTAATTTCTGAAATTTTTCATCGAAACATATAAATAATAATGCACGAAGAATATGAATCTACAACAGTGCGTTAATTTACACTAACCTCGAATATTTCTGGATCAATGTAATCTGCTATGTTATGCCCTTCCCAGATTTCTGGTATAATATCATATTTCTGATCTCCTTCTATGTCATAATTCTTCTTTAAATCAAGTACATAATCATCACCCATCTCTTCCTCTATTTCTCTTTCCAATTTTCGTTGTCGTTCCATTTTATTGGCTATAGCTTGTTTCTTAAGCAAAACACTTTCTGGAATACATGGTGCTCGAATTTTTTGATCCCTTGGTACTGGTTGAGCAACATGTAATCGATTTAATATACCTTCAACCTGTGATATGCAATAATCAGTACGTTAAAAATTTGTGTATGTGAATATTACAAAAGTAGAAACTTTATTTATGAACGTACCTTCTTAGTTTTGATCTTTTGATCGACTCTGAAAGCCAGTAAACGGTCACACGCTTGGTTTTTTACATCTATAACACCAAAATCTGTTAAGGTACTCATTTCTAATATTGGCACATTTGTATCCGCTTCTAATGGTTTCAAGATCTCGCGTTTTTCATTAGGAAGTTCATCCAAACGTGTCACATCAACTTTGTTCATTACGATTAACAATGGCTTATTGGCAAACAAAGGCTTGATAGATTCAAATAATTTAGCCTGAAGAAATAAAAGAAAATATTAGTTTCGCAAAAGGTAAAGCAAGAAATTTCTCGAGAGAATGAAATATTATTCACCTGTTCTTCCAACGAATGTCCACATTGTTCGGATATATCAAAAAAATAAAGCACAGCTGCGCGCAAATGAGCAAGAGCCGTAACTGCTTGCATTTCTATTACATTTCTCTGCTCTAACGGATGATCCAATATACCAGGTGTGTCTATCACTTGCCAACGTAAGTATTTGTAATCCGTATGGCCCACGTATAGCGATTTAGTTGTAAATGCGTACGGTTGAACATCTACATCGGCACGCGTAATCTAAATACGAAAACAATTCAAAGTTAACTGGACAATGTGCTCAGAGATATCATTTTTGTCTAAGAACAAAAGTCAACTCACTTTATTGATAAAACTACTTTTACCAACGTTTGGAAATCCACAAATAATAATTGTGCGCGTATAAGGATCTATACTTGGCAACCTAGCTAAATGTTGTCGAACTTGTTCAAGATATGTCAAATTGGAAGCTTGCCTCTTCATAATAGTGGCCATACGACCTAATGCGGCTTTCTTTAATTGTTTGCATCGATACAACGAATCACCATATTTCAACAAACGAACATAATCTTTTGCAACGCTATAACAATAATAAGTACATAGTAAAGAGTTCATATAATTACAAATTGACTACTAATTATAACTATTAATTATGTTGAGATAATATACTTACTTATCTATCAAGTGGCGAGCAGTATTGATTTGTCCAAGAGCTAATTTGTAATGATCCTTATCATACAAGATATTCATTAAGTCGGCATAAAATGGATGGACATCATCGAGCTTAGGAAAATCTTGAATTATTTGTGATAATCTGTCATGAAAATTCTGTTGAGTGAATTTAACTTTACGTGTATAGAATGCACGTATTCTTGTGATCTTATAATTTTTATGAATAACTGTTGGAGTTTTACGTTGTGTTTTTGATAAAATTATATCAATAAAGTCCTATAAAAGAAGAAATCAAAGTTTAAATATCTCAAAATAAAAGATTTAATTCTATTAATAATTTTATAAATTAAAGTGATCTTAACCTTTGCAGTTGGGACAACCGCAATCTTCTTAAAATTATACAGCACCATTTTGAAATCACTTAATAATTTTTTCAAATATACAAAAATCACAACAATAAAACATCGCACGATCAAACAAAACGTGCGTTATTTTTTAATATATATGTTATTAAAAATATAAAAAAACACGTGGAGCAACACGATGCTATCGCTAAAAGAACAGGTTGTACAACTTTATAATCGTAAATTTCAAACTCCCAAGATAGCGCTTCATAATTATTTTTTAACTATTGGCTACCCTGTGTCCATATTGGCGCCAAATACAAAAATTTCAAATTTAAAATGACTAATAAATTAGAAAAAATGTTCTACATTATTTTAATCTTTAAAAGTTATATCGAGAAAACATACTATACGAGAGAGGTAAGAAATAAATTATAATTATCTATAATTTATCGAAAAGTAGCCGAATATACTACATATATTTTTTATCTGTCACTTTTATTGCTTTTTATTAAGTAATTCTTAAGAATGTAAATAAGTGATCTCTTTCGATGTTCATTTTTATTCTATTAATTGATTGAAAATAGATATTACTTGCGATGTAATAATAATGGCGTATAATATCATCGTAAAACAACGCAAATGCTGCCAAGGTAATAGATGTAATGCAATTATTGAATTTCTTAATTTTGTTGAATAGTTTTGGAAACAAAATAATATATATTAGAGTCATAAATATACACGCTTATTGTATTATTGCTTATTATATTATTATAATATATAACAAACAGTAATAATTTGTTTATATAAAAATGTGTTTGTATAAATATGATACTTAGAATCATCAGTTCATCGATGGATAATATGCTTCAATCAAAAGGATTCACATTATAACAGTATTTATATAATTAAAAGAGGTAGATATATTGGAATGTAAGCTAAGTATCCTTCATTTTATAGCAATCGTCTTCTCTTTTTTCTTTTTTTGTAATAAATATATTAATAACAAATAAATTAACTGTGCTCTGTGCTAGTAAAATTTTCTAAAGATTTTGTTTGTTAAAACTTGCTAGATAAAATTTAGTCTAAAATTAGTGCAAGCAAGTATGGCTCACAAGCATGACCAGACGGTTATAACCAACCGTTTAAAGTATTAGCCATGTAAATATTCTTTTTTGAGTATTTCATTTAAATGTTAGGTCCATAAAGCTGTTGGCATTATTCCTTCAACTGTACCAGCTGCAGGTTTTAAATCTTCATCGCACAAGAAATTTAGTGGCATGTCTACCAAATGACCCTAAGATAATAATCGTAATGTTAAGTTTATATTAGATACACGTTTAACATAAGATATAAAGTTAGAAATAGAAAAAATGATAAACCTTAATATTTTCTACCATTTCTTGAGCTAAAATCGGATCTGTAGAACTGAAAGAGGCTTCATCTTGATATTGTTTTAAAGTAGCAAAATTACCAACTTTGTTAGTAGGAATGCAATGAAAAACTTCTTCATATATTTTGGTATTGTTACTGCTTCTCGTACACCATATATCTTTATAGAAAGATTTTTTAATTATATCAGTTAGATTGATGTCTTCGTTACTTTTCAACAATCCTAAGTGTTCACGGAATAGTTGCTTTCTGAAGGATCCAGCAAATTTTCCACATGGAAAAGCTATGTCGTTCATTCTCCCTTCATCGAATTCTAAATCCTATTAACGAGAAATAAAAGTTTATTTTATTTGTTTATTTATATGCATATCTATGATGCTAGACATAGAGAGAAAAAAATAAAACAAAAAATAAACTCACATGAATAATGACAGCAATTTCACTATCTCTAGTAGCTATCATGCTTCTATCATTTATGTTAGCAGAACCACAAATTACTGTTTTATCATCTACAATCATTAGCTTACTGTGAACGTAAATGAGTTCGGTCACCAAAGTACCATTGAGCATAGCATGAGTTCTTAGTCCATGGAATGTGATGTATTCGCTAGGATCTGATATACCTGCTTCCATTAGTTGGTTTAGAATAGCATCTTTACCTCTCGATATAGAAGCGTAATTCCAATGCGTTATAGCACGTAGAGCCGTTCCGCTTGGACCACCAACTTCACCTTCGAATCCTGGTAGCAAAGGCATAACAACGAATACTCGAAAAATAGCCCCTTCCCTGTGCGCTTGTAAAATTCTTTTCAATAGAGTTTCTCCTATACGATTCTTCACATTGCTTATTTCTGTTGTTGCAAGAGTTATAAAAAATTGATTTTCTATGTATATATATCTTTCAGCCTTATTTATTGCTTGAATATATGCTTCTTGTATACTAGCTTCTTGCATATCGGAATCCAGGAAGCCAGCAGACCATGAACTAACTGATCGTAATACTTGACATTTAACATTTTGTATATATTTTTGTGGAATAAACGAAGCATGACTTCTATAATCTTTATAAGATTTTGGCAGTAGAAATGGATAGGCAGCGTTTAACTTTGCTTTCTCTATTTTAATAGCATTCCAACGTTGAATAAAATGTCTCGCAATGTCCCTAGCTGCTCCTCCTTGCATTAGAACCCCTACATCGTGCCAGGGCATTCTAGGGGTTGTACTTCTATCAACTAAATCTTGATATGGTTTTTCCAAGTCATTGAAGTCTTTTACGATAAAATTTGTATAATCTTTTCCAAGCCACATTTTGCTCGTATCAGAAATGTCATATATATCTGTGCTTTTATACATCATTCCTTCCTTATCTCTAAAAGGTGTTAGCATAATCTCATTATCAACTTCATCATATTCGATCTCAGTTTCTTCATGTGGGCTATACACCATGTTTATAAGTTCTTTTCGTTTTATTTTTATATTATCTTTGACTCTTCCAACTTTTGTTATAGCCATGTCAAATAAATTTTTCCTTTGCGGTTCTGGAGTATTGCACTTCATAGTATCTAATTCTTGTGATGGTGGTATCATGAGTAGTTCACCCGCATTCAATTGCGGTAAATATTCTTCTTTTAATGTCTTATTGCTAGTTACCATTGGTCTATAAAGTCAGAATTAACATTAACATTTGATATTTATTTAATCAATTTATATTTAGCACTAATTTTCTAGTATAGGACATACAATACTGGTAAAGCTCTCGTAGTTGCCATAGCTATCGTGTTAGTTGCTATTGCTAACGGGAGTAATACGTGACTTCGAATGTTACATTGCGTTACTCGTTTACTACTTGTGTTTACTGTTTTTCCTTTGGATGGAATGTATATACTGGAATGTTGAACCGATCCTGTGCATTCATAATATATATTTAATTATTCCATGTTTGTTATATTTTTAAAAAAACTTTGGAATTTACCCAAATCGGTTAGTCTATGTTCATTGTTGTCCCATCTTCCGTAACATAAATCAATGCCGCCGAGAAATGCAATACTTTGATCAACAACTACAATTTTCTCGTGATGCGCCCAAAGGAAAACTCCAACTCTTGCGTGATCTGGATGCCTTAAAACTTTTATGTTTTCAGGACATTTTTCTACAAGTCGTTGTTTACTATAGAAACTATTTATTCCCAGTGCAACTTCCACTTCTTTGTATATCATTATGAATACTTTAACACCTTCTATCTAGAAGAGATAGATATTTATGTATTTAATTTTTAATGTATTTATACTCCTTATAGTGTACTTCTTCTTAACAACAATCTTTTGCTGCATCAAACATAATCTATGATGCAAAGTATTTTTTGGGCAATTAGATCATTTGGTTATAGATTTTATACTTACTGCTTTCCTTTGTAAAATTATATCAAGTCTCCAATAATCCCCATTGGTTGCAGGACGCTTCATGAAAATTTCTGGTGAGAGCCACCAATCGGCAATAAAAATTTCTTCTCTGGCATTTTCTAATGCATCGGCTACAGCTGACATATAACTGCATCCGTCCACGAACCAAGTTGCTGGTATAGGAGAACGATACGGAGCAAAGGAATTATGTGGATTCATTTGTATAAAATCTTTACCTTCCGTATTAATAACATGTTGAATAAATTCAATCCATTCTTTAGCTTGTCTACGTGTCCAGCATTTGAAGACAACGTGTCTACTTTGATTTATTATTTGTATTCCATTTCGTAATCCTGTTGTATACATTCCAAAACTAATACCAAAAGCATTATCCATTAAAATAACAGATTTTAAATTGTTGTCTTTAGGATCCATATATGCTATGAAGGTATCTTTAACAAGCAGATGTCGACTATGCCATTTACTACAGATGGAAGCACAAAAATAATTGCATCTAACACAAAACATGCCTTCCAGTAAACCACAGAAATTACATCTAGTTCTAGCTCCTGAACCAGTACGTTTCAGGACTATTCCTTCTTTACCTTTCATTCCTAAATCAGCTATAAACGACAGATACGATAATCCCATAAAGTTGATCTAGAAATAATAAATATAAGAATTATTTTCTTTGCGATAGATGTTATAATATTTTATATGTACCGTTTCAGGATGTTGTTTATAGATATCTATTTTAACTAGATTTCCCAAATAATTTTCCAAAGCTTTCATTCTATGATTTAATTGTTCATAAGGCACTAAAACATCTGGTTTATTTGGAAACCTATAGAATAGATTTTGTATAGAGAGCGCATTAATATATTTGTGTATTTCAATGTATACCTCGGTAAAGCACCTCTGTTTTTCTTTTTCTCTCCTGAATACGCTAAGGATTTTAAACTGCTTCTTCTTTCTTTGTGTCCTTTAGTTGGAAAAGGTATATTTAAACTCGTTCTATAAATTTTCAATTGATTATGCAAATTTTGAATATGCTTGTATCTCTTTTTAATTGTCCAAGAAAACGGACCGTGTTTAAATTCTATAGTATATAAATTTGGATTTAAAGGATGCGTAGTTACACTACGTTCATTATCTACAATTCTAACATAAATTTCCTCGCAAGGTATAAAAATATCTTTACATTGTTTCTTCAATTTTATAGGAATATTGTGTATGGCAGAAAATGGTATTACACCGGTACATTCTAAATAGAAAATAGAAAAAAAAGAAAGAATGTATATATATATGTATAATAATTTATCTACTATTAGTTATATTCGTCCAATGTAATCTAATTACCTCTCTCGTCGATATTCTCTTCATTGATTAAGATATTGATAGTTTCTCCATTTTCATTAATC